GCTTGGTTCCATGTCTATGTACATTGCTTCATGCTCTGTGGTTATTGGTTCAATGCTTGGGCCCGACAGGTGGTCAATCATTATTGTCCTTGCTTTTCCAGGTTGTACTGCACTAGCTAGGTTAGCCAACGCATCGGCATAGCTGTTGTCATCTCAGCTTACCTGAAGTAGTCGGCAGTTCTGAAATAAGGCTAACAGTCTGATGATTTCCTTTGCGTAGGCTGACATTCGTTCATCTCGGGTTGCAAACTCACCTGTTGTCTGGTTAACTATTAGTTGTGAATCACAAAAAATTATTACCTCATCTGCTTACACTGTTGCTGCCAACTTCAGTCCTGCAATGAGTGCTTCATACTCTGCTTCATTGTTTGAGACCTTGAACCCCAAACGAATTGACTGTTCTAGTACCTGCCCATCTGGGGATATCAATACTACTCTTGCCCCCGCTCCTTGTCGGTTTGAACTCCCATCAACAAACAGTCGAAAGGAGTCGCCGATGTAATGCTGCAGGGTCTGAGTTTGTCCTCTTTCCTTTGTTCTTTTGCCTTTGGCTGTGCTTCTCCTTGCTTGGTTGGACATCACTCATCCTGGCTCAACGGAGCCTGATGTTCGATGGACTCTGGTGTGAACTCGGCTACGAAGTCGGCTAGAACCTGGACTTTGATTGCTGTCCTTGGTCTGTACTCCAGGTCATACTGGCCTAGGGTGACTGCCCATCTGGCTATTCTTCCTGTCAGGTCTCCTTGTTGCAGTAAGGACTTCAAGGGGTGCTCTGTTAGCACCACAATTTTATGGGCCTGGAAGTAATGGTTCAACTTTTTTGAAGCCATTACTAAAGCTAGTGCCAACTTCTCTAAGGGCAGATACCTCGTTTCTGCATCGGCTAGGTTTTTGCTTACATAGTAAACAGCCTTTTGCTCCCCTCTCTCTTCTCGGATTAGTACTGCACTTATCGCATGTTTTGAAATAGCTAAGTACAGGAACAGCTCCTCCCCAGGTTCTGGATTTGAAAGAATTGGAGCTGTGGTCAAGTACTTTTTCAGGTCGGCCAAAGCGGCTTCGCATTCTTCTGTCCACAGGAAGTCAATGGCTTTTTTTATCAAGTTGAAGAAAGGTCTACACTTATCTGAGCTTCTGCTAATGAATCTGTTCAGGGCTGCGGCCTTTCCAGTTAGCATCTGCACTTGTTTTGCCGACGTTGGGCTCTTCAACTCTAGGATGGCCTTGATCTGATCTAGGCTGGCCTCGATGCCCCATCTGGTCACCAAGTATCCTAAAAACTTACCAGATCTAACTCCAAATGCACACTTCGATGCATTGAGTAGGAGTCGATATGTTTTAAGGATTTCAAAGACTGTTTTTAGATCGGCAAGATGACCCTCAGGCTCCTTGGTCTTAACGACCATGTCGTCGATGTAGACTTCTACTGTTCGGCAAATCAGGTGTTTGAACATATTGGTTACCAGCCTTTGGTAAGTCGCTCCTGCGTTTTTTAACCCGAAGGGCATTACTCTGTAACAGTACAAGCCTTTTGAGGTGATGAACGCTGTTTTTTCTTCATCTCGGGGGTACATGGCTATCTGGTGGTACCCCCTGTAGGCATCTAGAAAGCTCATTCTTCCATGCCCTGAAGTGGCATCTACTAGCTGGTCAATCTTGGGTAGAGGAAAGCTGTCTTTGGGACAGGCTTTGTTGAGGCTGGTGAAGTCTACGCAGACCCTCCATTTACCGTTCTTCTTCTTTACCACCACTATATTAGATAGCCATGTTGGGTAGTGAACTTCTCTAATGGCCCTGGCCTCCAGAAGTCTGTCTACTTCTTCTTCCACTACTTCGACATGCATCAACATTGGTTTTCTGGCTCGTTGAATTACAGGTTTGGCCGACCTGTCAACATTCAGTTTGTGGCACGTGACCTCGTGGTCAATGTCAGGCATTTCGTAAGGTGTCCAAGCGAACACTTCAATATTTGTTCTCAAAAAAGTTTCCAACTCTTTTTCCTCTTCTTCGGCTAAGCCCGAGCCGAGAAGAAAGAACGTTCTTCATTCTCATCCTGGACGAGAATTTTCTTTAGTGCCTTTTCGCTCTTCTCAGCTGGCTCTTTGCCGACGTCTTCTAGGACTTCCACGTCCTCATCTTCAATTTCTGCCTTCTCTGGCTCTCGTACGCTGCATGTATATTTCATTGCTGCCATGGAGCAATTCTTCGCCTGCAGCTGATCGCCTCTGATTTCCTCTATCCCATGCTCTGTTGGGAATCGCAATAGTTGATGCAATGTTGAGGGAACTGCCCCCATTGCATGCAACCATGGCCTTCCCAAAATGATATTGTAAGGGGAGGGTGTGTCGATGATGGTGAATTCTATCTTGATCTTCCTGGTGCCAGCCTGCACCTCCAAGCTTACTACTCCCAGAGGCCATGTCGGCGTTCCATTGAACCCAACCATTGGGCCATTGGATTGTTCCATATCATCCGGGTGAAGGCCGAGCTCCTTGTAACATCGGACGTACATGATGTCGCAAGAGCTGCCTTGATCAATCAGGATGCGTTTCACTTGGCACTCCCCAACCTGGAGGGATACTACCAAGGCATCATTATGCGGATGCTGGACCATCTCTAGGTCGGCTTCAGTAAAGGTTATCATTGGTCCTTGGCATTCTTCTGCCCGATGTCTTTTCTCCCCGACTTGGTAAACATATTGTAGGTGCTTCACTTTCTGGGTCTCTCCTTGGATTTCGTTTTCGTTGACCTTCGAGTGGATTACGTTAATTATCCGAGGTCCTCTTGCCTGCGGCTGTTGTGCTGGGGGAGGCGGGGCTGCTGGTGCCTAAGGCAATCTTGCCCGTTCTTTCCTTGTTCTGGTCTCATCGACAAGGTCTCTCAGATGTCCTTGTCTCACTAGATCTTCCAAATATGTTTTCAGGGCTCTACAACCATGAGTTGTATGCTCATCTTCATTATGGTAGGCACAATGCCTGTCAATGTTTCTTTCCATGAACTCTCCTGGAGTCCTTTCTGGCGTTCTGAAATAGGGCTAGTTCCGAATTTGATCCAGGACTTTGGGAATTGGGATTCGGAACACAGTTGTTACTGCTTGTGTGGCCCTCAGTTCTGCTTCTTGTCTGCTCGTTCCATTGTTGCCTCAGCCTCGCTTCGGCGAGCCGTTTCCATTCTCTTGTTTTATTTCCCTGGTTCCCGACGTGTCTTCTTCGGCTCTTGCGTACTTCTCGATTCTCGCTATGAGCTCCTCCATATTTTTTGGCAATGTCTTTGCCAAAGACTTTCGTAGTTGACAGTTGTCTTTCAAGCCATTCTTAAAAGATACGACTGCCACCTCTTGATTACATTCGGGTATTTGATTGAACACCTCATAGTGTCTTTTTGCATAGGCCCTAAGGCCTTCATCCTTGCTGATCTTTAGAGCCATTAATGCGTCCACCCTTAATGGCTGCAGCTTGTTTGTCACAAACCTGGCCACAAACATCTCGGCCAGGCCTTCCCAAGTCTTCACGCTTCCCTTCGGTAGTTTGTGGAACCAATCTGATGCAATCTCCCCAAAGGATGAGGGGAACACTTTGCAGAGCAACGGCTCGTTCCTACTATACAATGCCATTGAGTTCAAATATAGTCCAACGTGGAAGTTGGGGTCTGACTTTCCATCGTATATTTGAAACCTCAGCATATTGAATCGTTTTGTTGACTCAAATCTGTCTAATTCCACTGAGAATGGTGTCCTCGGCTTATCTGGGGAGGTTACCTCAGCGTAATGGGCAGTTGTGGGGACATAATTTTTGAATGACAACACGTGGCCGAGGTGTCACCGGAGTGCCAGCCGAGGTGCCACGTGTCATGGTCATGATGCCGAGATGATCTTGGCTAAATCGAGATTATCTGCGAAGATGTCGGAATCCGAGATAAACGGATAAGGGATAAGAGTCCTAGAATGGGAGAAGACTTCAGTTTGGGTAAAGATAGGACTCTTAGAGAGTTTATCCTAATTCAACTGGGAGCCCAATATTAGCAGTAATTCTAAGTCCATTAGAGCTAGGCTCCTATTGGGACTAGAATTGAGTTTGCTATAAAAGAAAGACACCCCCATGGGTCTAAGGTATGCTTTTGATATTCTGTCTAGTGAATTAAGCACTATTGGTTATCTTTGAGAGATACTGAGTACTGACTTGATCGTCGGAGTGCCCCCGGGTGGACGAGCTACCGCCGGAAACTCTTCTTTCTGTTGCAGGTCGTTCAGACTTAATCTATTCTGCTGGTTTTCTCCAGTTAAGTACTAAGTTAGCAGTGTAGTCGGAAAATCACTCACACAGTATTTACCTGTCAACTAAAATCTTGACTTTGCCACTACACAGCAGACTGTTTTCACAAGTGTAAATCCTTGATTAAAGGATTTAGGAAGGAATTTGAAAAGTGAAAAAGAAAGGTGTGTAAAACTAAATGAAATATATAATTATTTTATTTATATTTTACCTCTTTTTATTTCTAAATTATTTCTTAAATCTTCCAATCAAATACAGCGGTAATGTTAAATGAAGTCTTCTATCTAATGCCATTGGTGGAGTTTGTTGCAGGCTGGTTTGGATTTCTAAACATCAGTATCTAAATTAGCCATATCGATTGTTCATTCTAGTCACCAAATTTCCTATTTACCTTCTTTGTCTTATATTTATTGTTGACGTTTCATCCTTTGGTTTTTTTCAGTGCATTCTTGCTGTCTTGCATGCTGTCTCATTGTTAACATAGTCCTTTTGAATTAATTCTTGTCCCCATCAATGAGTTCTCTCACATAAACTTCAAACAGTTGATGACAACTAAGAGAATTACTCTATATTAGATATTAAGGACACTCAAATATGCTAATATTCCAACTCAATTAGGACGATGCATAATCCAATTCTGAACAGATTTCTTGATAAATTTTCTTGACAAGTGGTTTTATCGCGACGGGAATATGATCATATTGACAATTTGAAATTATTTACCATTTCTTATGTAAACACCCTTAGGAAAATCATGTGGAATTCAATGGCGGTAACATGAACTGCTTCTCCTATCTCTTCAACTGGAGCAAAGTTACTCTGCTAAATTAATGTATATAAATTAACATATAAACCAATAAAGATTACCAAAATAAATGTGTAAAATAAAATTATTTCTGTAGGTACCTGAGATGGGAGCAATGGCTGGTCGTTGAATTCGAACACCAAATCAACAAAGGCATCAATTAATCTGACAGAAGTGTTCTTGGCAGTTTCAGCAATGTCGATTTTCGTGGGAAATTCAGGAAAATCTCTGAAGAATGGCTGCAAATAATGAAAACAGACTAGATAAGTAATGGTGAAAGTAATTTGTGGAAATTGCTTTTGTTTTGCATGGTTAAGTTTGGACTCAGACCCATCACAGATCATTAGAGAGAGAGAGAGAGAGAGAGATGAGTATACCTTGAAAGAAGAGGACAATGAAGTCTTGAAGTGATCAAATCTGTGTGAGATGGAAGGCTTTTGCACACAACAGTTCACTTGGAATGCATAACTAGAAATGGCCATCTCTCTCTCTCTCTCTCTCGCTCTATCTGTCTATCTCCCTCATAATATTAGAAATTTGTAACTGTTATAAACTGTACAACTTTGAACACAAAACCAGAGTCTTGTAAAAATGACGTATAGGTAAGCAATGGTGCTAAGACTAAGCATTTACGGGGAAGCAGAGATGAAGAGTTGTGGAAGAGCATCATCATTTTGTATATAAAAAACAAAAAATTGCATAAATTTGACAAATAAACAAAGCAAGTGATGATATATTGGCAGAGCCACTTTGGCAGTATCGGGGACAAATGAATAGACTGGGCAATATGGGATATTCCCAATGCAATTAATTTCACTGTCCTACATTATATTATTATTATTTTTTTGGTAATACCAGCCTACATTTATCATGTGTTGGTTGGTGTGTTAGATGAGGGCTTATCTTATCAACGGCAGAATCAAAGCTCCTCCATGAGGGTGCCATGAGGATGGAATGGAACCAAAAAAAAAGAAAAAAAAAAAAATTGTCGGATAAATGTGAGGCACCGTTTGGGAATGTGGGTTGAAAGTTTTTTTTAACTATTTTAGACACAAAAGATAAAATAGATTATTTTAGTCATAATAAATTAAATATTACATTTAACCCATAATTATTATACTATTCTTTCACAAAAAAGTTAAAAAAATCAAAAAATTAAAAATCTTTCACAAACCAAACTTTTTAGCTCAGACTAAAATAGTTAAAAAAGTCAAAAAGTCAACCCACTTCCCAAACGACACCTGAGTCTATTTGGGTTTTAATAAATTAGATAATTTTCCCCAAAAATTAGTTATTAAAGTGAGAGTATCTCACATGTATATGTCTCACAGACCTTAGAACATAGAAAATGTTAAATTTTATTTCACACCGTCCATCACCACCACTACATTTGGCTTTTCTCCACCTCAGCTGCCACCAACTAGTTCTTTCGACCACTATCACTGAAGACCTTCGGTCCCCATTTCTAATTGGGAGCCATCTCTGGCAACCACTAACTGCATATAGTCATTTGAAAATATCTTTCAATACCACCTTCAGTCGGAATTATTAATTTTTAGTAATTCTTTTTCACTTATTTTTCAAAACAAGTTTTTAACATACGTACATATCAATCATGTTTTATTTTTTTGTTATTTCTTTTATCAAGAAAATAATAATAATAATAAATTGTAAATATTATCAAACAAGAGTAATTTTAGCAATTAATCAAAAACCGATGAGCAGGTGACCAACATGAAGCAATCTTGAAGAACAGCTTAGACAAACATTAGAGAGATCATCGATGAACGCAAAGCACAAGCATATTTTCTTTTCCTTGTTTGGAAGCTGAGAATTGTCCGCAGTACCTTATCTTATGGTCAAATGTCAACCAAATGACTACTTTGAAGAGCTTCAATAACATTACAAACTTACACATAAAATGAAAAGAAATAGAATTAGCAACAAAGGTGACCTAATGATACGATACAAACGGCACAGGCCAAATGTCATCCCCATAATTTCAATAATTTTTATAGTCAGTATTTTAAACTTAATTGTCATTTTCGAGTCTGCTGACCACTCTTTATCATTTTCTGATTAGTTCTCATTGTCATCAAACAGGTTTTCCACCTAAAAAAGTTAATAATCCAAGAATTGAGACGCAAATGGTCATGTAATAACAGTACCCATTACAAACCAATTTCATAACATCCCTAGGGCTACAACTCGGGACAGGTTAAAAGAACTGTTTGTACTAAACTCAAAATATAGAGAGATTTTTCTACACTTGGATATTATCCAAGCCCGGACTCAAGTTTAATTCAAAGAATTTGAACTTGACTAAGGTTGTCTAAATTCAAACAGAGAAAAATATTAATTTGAGTTATGTGCATAGAAACAGAGTATAGAATATATAAATGTGAGACAAAATATTCGTAACTATAAATGCAAATATGTTCGCAATTACATATATGAATATTATTTTATCTCACATTTATATATTTTATGTTCCATTATCTCTATACAGATATCCTTAACCATCATTGCACATTAAATAAATTTAGATGATAAAATGATTATGTAATTTGTGAGTGGTTGATGATGATTTTTTTCTCTTTGTATTTCTCTTGGCCTATTTATAGACTCAGATACATGAGAAAAAGAGATAATCTAAACCCACAATTTCCTTAACATGTCCATGATTTCCTTAATATTATCTATATTCCATGTTTGATAAGGACTATTTTGCAGATTTGGTACTTAATTTGATCTTAACTCCTTGATCTCAAGAACTAACTTTAAAATTACTGTAATTGCTAACTTTCTAGCCATCTATTTAACATGTCATCAAACCACATCCTTAACACATTTGTCATGCTACGTTAACATGTCTGTCGATAGAAATAATAATAATAAAAACAAATGTGATCAAGATTATTTTTTGAAAATAGTTTATGATTTCAATCGACAGACCATAATCGAATTTGACCATAATTAATAAGACATAATTGAAAAAAAAATAAAATATGAGGCAAATAATAACTTAGTAGGAATCATACTACCAAATCTTAATGAGCTCTAGTGGTAATTGGAATCATACGCACAAGTAGGGCTGAGCAAGGAATTCGTAAAATCCGTAATCCGATCCGGTCCAGTCCAATCCAATAGGTTTGGATTGATTTTTTCAATCCGTGGTTCGGTTCCGAATTGAAAATTTCAAAATCCGTAGGCCACGGATCGGTTCCGGCTTGAACCCTACGGTTCCGGATTGGAATCGATCCGGACCATCTAGAAATAATTTATATTTTTATACTATATACCTTCCCACACCATATAATTTCTTATATGATATAAAAACTAAAGTGTAAACCTAATCTAGCAGCCTCACCTCACTCATTCACGCCTCTCACTCTCATCTCAGGTCAGTATATCGATGGTGTCTCTCTCTCTTCTCTTTCCCATCTTAGACTGAGTTCTCTCTCACACTCTCATCCATCTCAGATCAGATTGGTGTGCTGCTGCTCGTCTTTCTCTGTCGGTGAGCTCTCTCTTTCTCTCTCGGTGTTCTCATCTCTCATCTCTCTCTCTCTGGGATCGGTGACTATTTTTGTTTATTTGTTCCCAGATCATCCATCTCAGATTAGATCGATAGCTATAGCTGTTGTCTTCCTCTTTCGGTGAGCTCCTCTCTTTCTCTCTCTCTCTCTCTCTAACAATCTGAAATAGGTTTAATCTCTAACACTCTGAAATGGGTTCCCAGATCATCCATCGCAGATTAGATCAATTGTTCATGTCATCTACAATGGATTCGGTAAATGTAAGTAGGAGATTTTTTTTTTCTGTTTTTATTTTTATTTTTTATTATGTTTTATGTTTTCATTATGTTTTTATTTTTATTATGTTTTTAGATCGATTGTTTTTTTTTTCTGTTTGTATTTCTATTTTCTGTTTTTTTTTTTCCTTTTCTGATTTCATCTCTGTTTTGTATTTCTATTTTCTGTTGTTTGTAACCATTGATGCACAAATCAGTGTTTATGGAACACTTTAACTGAAAGAGTAGTGACAATAGTGACAAAAAGGTTCACTGTCTTTCTTTTGTTGTTTCCCTAAATACCTAATCAATAAAATTTCAAACATATGCTGTATACTTGGAGTTTCCTTTTTAATTTCATGCTGCACCTAAATGCTTATTTTTAGGATCTGCTGTTAGTTTTTAGACAATGATAGACATGATATACCTGCAAACAATACCTAAATGCTTATTACTATTGTTGATGTAATGTCTACTACTATTGTTGATGTGTGTTTGCTTGGAATGGATGATGTTTGCTTAGAATGGAGGATGTTTGCTCCAGTTTATAATGGAATGGGTGTTGTTTACTTGGAATGGATGTTTTTACTTGTATTGTTTACAGGTTTACAAGAATGGAGTTGCTATTGGAATGGAAATGCTAGTGGAATGGATGTTTACTTATATAATATTGTTTGCAGGTTTTCAAATAGGATGTTTACTTATATAATATTGTTTATAGGTTTATTACTCAGATTATATTGTTTACAGGTTTATCACTCAAATGAAAATGTAATGTCTATATTTTTTTGGTTATTTAATTATTTAAATCCGTGGTCCTAAACCGATCCAATCCGTGTTTCAACGGATTGGTTCGGATTGGTTTCACAATGTAAACGGATTGGATTGGTTTTAATTTTTCAGGAACCGTAGATAACGGATTGGTCTTGATTTTCTCCAAATCCGGACCAATCCGGTCCATGCTCACCCCTACGCACAAGTATTTAGCACCACCACCATGTGGCAAAAATTGGCATCAAATGAGTAATAATTGCAGGATAAATAAGATCAATGACAATAAAAATTACTTTGGTTTTTTAATCCATTTTAATTATTACAAATCAATATAGTTGAAATTTTTCTTCATCTGAATCTAAAGGTTATAAATGACTTTTAAATATAGTATATAAATTTTTTTTTTTGTTTCTTTAATAGCAAAGGAAAATCCCAGGTGTAACCAATCTGTAACAATGACTGTTGTACTGAGATTGGTGGTCAGCAACTTGGGTTTAAAATTTGAAAATAAGGGAATCAAATAGCAATCTCAATTGACGCACAAGACGACGTGGTTTGTTTGAGTTTTAGATGCATTTCGGGTTGGATCCAGGTAAGTCTAGGGGAAATGAACGTGTTCATTGGGCTGAGAGAGACGCGTGAAGTCCGTTGGACTAACTAAACAGGGCTTACTATCTTTTACTTTGGCCCATTTTGACAGTAAAAAAAAAAGAAAATTATTATGTAGTCCTATGTAGGGGATGTATTTTTCTTCTAATCTCATTTTATTTTTAATAGACTAATAGGTCTACAGTTTTTTAAGTTTTGTCCCCGGAGGTCCCGTTTTTTATTTTTTATTTTTTAAATGACTGTATTACTCTTTGATTCGATATATATATATATATATATATACGTAAAAAATCAAATATTTGCCTATGCGAGGTTGTTTGCGATCTCAATTTCTCTTCGTGATGCCGATCTCTTTGTGCTGTGAGGTCGATCTCGTTGTGTTGTGAGGAAGATCTGGTTGTGCGATCTGAATCTCTGTGTACGCTCTGTGTGTGTGTGTGTGTGTGTGTGTGTGTGTGTCTCACTCTGTCTCTATCTGTCGATACAT